ACAATAACCCTTTTCCAAGGCAAACGTTTTGGCACTGGTGGTATATAGTTATCGAGGATTACATCAATTCCTGGAAACTAGGTTTCAAGAGTCTTATTCACTCACGAGCATTGACTTGTCAACATGTTATACTTCCCGTCAGTCATGTTAAACGTTGATAGAATTTGATTTGGTTAAACAAATTTAATTACATAAAAAAACGTAAAAAACAAATTATATATATTAAATTATGTGATATCTACGGAGAAAATAGACTAACTTATATTAATATAAAAATATAACATACATTTCATTAATATTATCAAATATTTACTGAATATAATGTGACTTAACTTTGCGATCCTAATTTAATTAAAAAGTATAAAATTTTAAATTATAAAATAAGTTATATATATTAGGCAATGTCACTCTTTTAATTTAAATGGAAAAAAATACTTTATATTAAAAAAATTATTCAACAAATAATTATAAGTGGGTTAACTAAAGAGTTATATAAATTTCTATTAATCATGTATATGAATTAAATAATTTTTTTAAAATATTTTATTTAAATTTTATTTAAGTGTAAAAAGTTAAAAATAACCTTATAATAATTTTATTATCATTTTAAAAGAATATTTTTAATATTTTCTCAATTTATTAGTTCTCAATTTACTTTAGTATCAACTCACTGAGTGATATAATCAACAATATAAATTTAAATAATTATAAATATTATTATAATAATACTTTTATCATTTTAATAAAATATTTTTTCCTATTGAGGGCGTTTATTAATTCACATTAGATGGGGTAGTTGCGAATTTTAAGAAGTAGTCAGAGTAGATATAGTTATCACATGCATTGACTTGTCAACGTGATTCACTTCATGTTAAACAAAATATCTACAAAGCGAGTCTCTTACGACCTCTATTTTTTCGGACAACTGCGTCGTATCATTTGGACAGCTGATAAATAGCAGCAACAATGTCGTGCCGAAAGGTCTAGTACCAACGACAAAGTCCTCCATGGCCCATACAGTGTAATGATATTTCCAAATGTTTTTTCGCGACATTTAATCTAATAGACATCAATCTACAATGTGGAATTGCAGTAAATTGACTACATAAATGAAAACAAATGTGGAAGAAGGGAAAGGAAGAATGTTGTAAGAAAATTAAAATGTAATACATTAATAGAATCTGGCCTGCACTGTCCTTCTGTATTCATTTGCAAGCTTTGTTCTCGTTATGCATCTCTCTCTGGTTCTCTGTTTTCCCCCTACAATGGAGAATTCAAGCAAAACTACTTTTTGCCTTCAAAACCTATTATTTCTCCTGCTTCCCTGCCTCTTCTTCTTCATTCAATACCATGTCGTTCCTGTTACAGGAGATGTTACCCCTTACATCCCTATAGAAAACATCAGAATTGATTGTGGTTCTTCCACGAGTGTCCCATCTCTTGATGGCCGTCAATGGTTCGGAGATGTCGGTGGAAAATTCATCCCCGTAGAGCAACCAAACAATAAGAACAAATCATCAGTTGTTAAACTTGAATCCCAACTGCCCTCATCAGTTGATCCGGTACCTTATTCCACTGCACGTCTATCTTACTCAGAGTTCACCTATTCAATTCCCCTCACCGTTGGCCCAAAGTTCATTCGCTTCTACTTCCATCCAACTTCGTATCCAGACTACGCAGACCATTCTAATAAAGCTTTCTTCTCTGTTAAAGCTGGTTCTTCTATCCTTCCCGGAATTTCAGTGCTCTACTTCATGCTCGTGGTGAACCTACACTTATCAAGGAATATTGTTTATATGTTGATGAAGGTCAAAGGTTAAACATAACCTTCACTCCACGTCCTGATATCACTGATTCTTTTGCCTTCATCAATGGAATCGAAGTTGTTTCCATGCCATCTGATCTATATTATGCAGCAGCCGGAGATGAAGATGGGGTAACTTTTACAGGCCAGGCTCAGGGAACATTGTACACCCTAGAAAACAACACTTCCTTTGAGAAGATGTATCGAATCAACGTTGGTGGGAAGGAAATCTCGCCAGGAGATGATTCTGAGATGTTCCGGCACTGGTTAAAAGACAACGACTATGTGACAATAATGAAACCAAGTGCTCTTCCTGTTAATACCACGACTAACCTCACCTTCAGCAGTAAAATCCCATCCTTCTCTGCTCCAAGGGAGGTTTATGTAACTGCCAGGACCATGGGGACGAACAAGACACAGAATGAGAACTACATTCTCACCTGGGAGTTTCCTGTTGATTCTGGGTTCAATTACTTTGTAAGATTACATTTTTGCGAGTTCCAAAATGAGATAACTCAACAAGGTGATCGAGTCTTTGAGATCTTCTTGGCTAATTTCACTGCGGAAACTCAAGCAGATGTTATAGCATGGAGTGGTGGGCATGAGATTCCCGTATATAGGGATTACGTAGTGGCAATAGGAACAGAGGAAACCAAAAACAGCAAATCTCTCTATTGGTTTGCATCCTTCGCCAGCTTGGAGAACTCTTTATTCTGATGCAATCTTGAATGGCCTGGAAATCTTCAAGTTGAGCAGTGATGCTGTTCTGGCCGGACCTAACCCTGATCCACTCCCGGTAAATGAACGAGGAAATTCACCGCAGAGTTCAACCAATTCCAAGAAGAACAACAAAGCAGTATTCGGCATCGTGGGAGGCCTAATATCGGGCTTCGTTGTTCTTTCACTTCTTTGTATCTTCATTTTCTGTCGAAAGATGAGAGTCAAAGATACTGAGGGAGTTTTACAGTTGAGTCAGCTTTCCTCTACAGTGAAATCATCCAAGTCAACCAAATCTCGTGGCTCATCTCTGCCTTCTGATCTTTGTCGCTACTTTTCACTGGCTGAGATCAAAGCAGCAACTCATAACTTCGATGATGTTTTCATCGTCGGCGTCGGAGGTTTCGGCAACGTGTACAAAGGATTCTTCGACTGTGGGGCTACGCAAGTCGCAATCAAGCGGTTGAACCCGGGGTCTCAACAAGGTGCTCACGAATTTAGGACCGAGATCGAGATGCTTTCCCAGCTACGCCACGTCCATTTGGTCTCATTGATAGGCTATTGCAACGATGGCAGCGAGATGATCCTCGTGTACGATTACATGGCCAATGGAACACTTCGTGATCATCTTTACAACACAGAAAACCCTCCTCTTCCATGGAAACAAAGGCTAGAGATTTGTTTTGGTGCCGCAATTGGATTGCAGTATCTTCACTCGGGTGCTAAACACACAATCATTCATCGTGACGTCAAGACGACAAATATCTTGTTGGATGAGAAATGGGTGGCTAAGGTTTCGGATTTTGGCTTGTCTAGAGATGGCCCGACCAATATGTCGCAAACCCATGTTAGCACAGTAGTAAAAGGCAGTATCGGATACTTGGATCCCGAGTATTCCCGTCGTGGACAACTGACAGACAAATCCGATGTATATTAATTCGGAGTGGTCCTCTGTGAAATTATGTGCTAGGCCACCCTTAGCCGCTCTGCTGAGAAGGCTCAGGTAAGCTTAGCACCATGGTTTCAACAATGCCATCAAAATGGAACACTTCACAAAATCATCGATCCATTTTTGAAAGGTTAGATTGTGCCTGAGTGTTTGAAAAAGTTCGTCGAAGTGGCAATGAGTTGCTTGAATGAAGAAGGAACAGAGAGGCCATCGATGGATGCTATGGGGACTACAGTTCGCACTTCAATTGCAAGAACTTGTGGAAGAGGGGATTACGCCTAATGCTGGTGCCAGCATCGAAGAAGACGTTGACAAGGAGACCCCTTTTACAGCCTATGCAATGGAAGATGACAGTGGGGAAGTGTTCAGTAGCATTGGCGATCATGTCATGAATTCCAGGAGCATTAGTACTTTCAGTTTGACAAGTGATGAACAAAGTTTTATTACTAGGTATTCTGATAAACACTCGTCAAAGGCAGTGTTCTCAGAGATTAGAGATCCCCAAGGACGATGAACGAAACTTGCAGCCTGTTGAGTAGGAATCTTCACAATAATCCAAGTTCATTTGAGAAAGATCCATTTCCTTGTAATATAAGATATTTCTAGGTAATTTCGTGTACCTCTTTTTTTAATGTTTAGATCAAATTATATTTATATTATTATTAAATGTCAATTTTTTTAAAAATAAACAATATTCATTGATTGAACATAGCATAAGACGTAACAATTGCAGCAATACAATCCGAAATTATAGATTGAAATATAAAGGCAAAGACGATGTGAAATATAGTTAGCAAGTGCTTGAGCCGCTCCATTTACCTCCCGTCGAACGAACCGGACTAAGATACGAGGGTGAGAATCAAGGAGGTTTCTTGTTTTAAGGAGATAATAATCATCATATACCTATATACATCATTACCAAATGAAAACATACCACGTATGGTAGTTCCGTTAAATTTTAAAGGTAGAATACTAAAATGAAACCTAAATTGAACATTAAGTATAGTTTTAAAAAAATTGATACCAAAACAGAATAAAATTAATAGTTTAAGAACTAAATATGTAATTTATGCTTTAAAATTTGATTTACAGTAAAAAAGCTCTCGACTCGGCCAGCATTGCGAGTTACGTCCGCATATTTATCCATTCCAGTTGACCTTCATTTCTTCTTCCTCACTTGATTCAAAAGTTACGTTTTCTCACCTTCAAACTCAAACATTACTGCTTATAAACTCATCATTCTATTAAAAGAACTAAAGGATCTATAAATGCTTCTTAACAACCAAAAAACACTCATGAGCTGTAAAGTTTGTAAATACACGGTATGAATAATCCCTCTTATATTGCAAAATGAATAATACAATGTTTATATACATAGTAACTAAAGTAAACACTTAACTAACTATTACAAAACTAACTACTCATAACCACTCTCTACATGAGCCGACCACTAAAATCGTTGGCTCATTCAACACTGGTCACTGAAATGTCATTACTCTTGAAACTTCTTACATGCAACAAGTCTGTGGAGGAGTCACTGTTTCCAGTCGTTCACAACTTAGCTGGTTTGATACTCAATTGACCTTCAAGTCATACTCTGCTATATAACTTTTCGAAGTTGCAGGGCTTCTAGACATGACACTAAAATAACAATGCTATTCTTAATTACCATCGTCTTCCTCGCCCTTTTCTCTTCAGCTTCCACAAGTTCAGCTCCTTATACTCCTACCGATTACATACTTTTGTACTGTGGTGCTTCGTCCAACACTACATTCTATTAGGATAGCAGAAACTGGGTTGCCGACGCTGATGAAGATCGTTCTAATGCCTCTTCTTTTACATCCCTTGCTTCGTATCAAGAATCCTGTCACTGAAGTTCCTTACATGACAGCTCGTATATTTCGTGGCGAGTTCACATATGAATTCCCCTAGTTCCTTCGTCTGTACTTCTATCCAAATGAATACCCTGACAAGAATGAGCAAGTCAAATGGACATATAATAATTAATCTGATGACATGTATCATTACAATTTAAAGACACATGTCAATAACAAAATTATAGGAAAGAGATCAAAATAAAAATGGAATTAAAAGTTGGGGACTTTTTGAAAATAAATAGATGACTAAAATGATTTTTTATAAATGTAATGACCATATGTGTAGGTTAAAAAAACTTAACATCTCAAGCGTGTAGAATTAACAATGCCTAAGATGATATTAGTCATCAGAATTATTTAATTGATCAATGTGTAGTGTCAACTGCTCCTTCCTAACCATAGCAGACGCACACATAATTCACGACATAAAAATAAAATAATAATGAAGGAAGATACCCGAAGAAAGGGATTGAAATAATTCAATTTGCTTAACGACACCTAATTTGACTCGTCCAAACATCCAGATTCAATATCTTCAATTTTACGACACCATATCCTCAGTTTTCCAGCTGAATGCTTCCTCAACGTTCAAGCTATGAAGACCAGAACTTCCGTGGGGTCAGAATACATCGGCCACGTAATTGAAGGCAGATGCCGAGACATCTACTTGATGCACAACTTCTCCATGGGGATTGAGCCACTCCATTTCGGAGTCTGCTCTGTTTTGGAGCTCCAAAGCAAGCTCTAATGTCGCCTCAACTTCACCCAGAGCAGGCCGTTTATGCTCCCGAACATGGATGCAACTGAAAGCAATCTCCAGGAATTTTTCTAAGCAACTCGGAGCTATTTTCCCTTTCAAAAATGGGTCGATGATCTGATAAACACTTCCATTCTTCAGTGTTCTTTAACCCAAGGAAATATCGAGTAGCAGCGTCCATCACGTCAAACTTTATTACTTTTCTACCAGAAATTGCTTCCAACAAAACAACCCCAAGGGAGAAAACGTCTGATTTGTCTGTCACGAGTGTAGGCGTAGCTTCATGCAAGAACTCAGGAGCCAAATAACCCAGAGTACCAAATATCCTCTTTCGGCTTGTTTCCACATCTATGTCTTCGAGAGGAGGTAACTCTATTCTGATCGGGGCCTTCGATAAACTAAATGGGCCTATCTTAGACAACGCGAAATCAGCAATCTTGGAAACAATTCGGTCGTCTAACAGAATATTGCTGGACTTTATGTCACGGTGGATCACTGCTCTCTTTGCTCCTGCATGAAGATAATGCAATCCACGAGCTGCCCCAATGCAGATCTCTAACCTCTGTTTCCAAGTGAGGGGATCTTGGCGAATTCCGTGGAGATGATCGAACAACGATCCTTGGGTCATGTAATCCACCACTACAATCTTCTCGTCTCCGGCATCGCAGAATCCGATGAGAGAAACAAGATGTTGGTGTGGCTGCTGGCAAAGTAGCTGCACTTCATTTCGAAAGTCTTCAAGTATCGACGATCCCATCAAGCGTTTCACCGCGAGAACCGAGGCCCCGTCGTCGAAAAAGCCTTTGTATACAACGCCACTGCCACCTTTACCAAGAACCAAGTTGCAATCGAAGTTATCGGTAGCCGCTCTGATCTCGTCGAGTGAAAATCGACGGTATAGGTGTTGTGGAAGTGATGATTTACCATTTCCCTTGGTCGTTCGGTGTTTGATCTTCTTTAATTTGCTTTCAGATGCTCGACAGAAACATAAGATTGAAAACAAAGGATTTCTCATTTGAAATCCAGACCTTGAGAGTTATTGTTAGCTACGATTTCATCCAATTTTAGCTGGAACGTCTTCCTTTTAAGAATTCTAGTCGGAACGTCGTTGAATATGTGATACAGGGATGGTACCACGTGGATCACGGAGGGCGCGCCGCCTGTCCCCTCCAACTTTTTTGGATATAAATATTTCTTAGGTACTGGTAGTTTCAAAAAGTGACAAATTGAACCCTGGATCTACCATTTTTTATTATTTAAATATCTTAATTTTGTGAATGAATCAGAGATGGCTATGCAGATTAAGATTAGAAGGAAGAAGAGAGAAGTATAATATTAGGAAAATTTAGGTTTAGCCTCTACGTTATTTAGAAATTTAGAAAATAATTTAATTATAATTTTATAATTTTTATAAAAATATAACAAAAATTCAAATTGGTAGATTCTAAGTAAACAATTTCAATTTTTTATTAAATAAAACGACGTTGTTTTGAATCTTTTGAATGCCAAAACAGGAGTACTAAAACGACACTATTTTAATTTGACATTTATATCAGTAACTATTAGTCATGTTATCATTTTATTGCTAACTTAACGATATAGTAGTATAATTGAAATGAAAATTAAAGTTTAATATTATAATTGATAAAATTAAAAGTTAAATATTATAAACGAAGTTTAGTACTATCTTATAATTTATTTTTTTATACACTAATCCTTTCTTTATTTAAAAGCTAAAAAAAATTATCTATTGAGAGTAAATCAGAAAAAATATATAATTTTAAGAATAAATTATCTATTTAATTATCTACAAATTTTGGTAGTTCTATTTCGATTACCCAATTAATTATTTTTAAATTGTATCTAATGATATATTTTAATTTTATTTTGATCACCAATCGTTAAAAAAATTAATGATGATATCAACGTATCATCATAAGTTAATATCTATCATCATTGAAAAAATAAATTTTTTACGTAAACAATTTATTTATTTTTTAATCATGAGTCATTAAAATAGAATAAAAACATAAAATTATTAATGATTTTGAATAAACAAATAATTAAATTATCAAAATAAAATCGCAAAAATATGTAGATAGATTAAATATATAGTTTACCCCAATTTTAATAAGAAGTTCTACTATATGATAATCTTAATATACGAATAAAAAAATACATTACTAATTTATTATTATTTAAATAACAAAACCGATATCTAGCCGTATATTAAGACTGCACGGAAGCTTTTCCTTGTTTTAATTAGCAAAAATGGTCTAGGTTTAATTAACAAATTCCAAACTTTAGTCAGAGAAGAGTGATTGAGTCGGCAGCCAACAAGCAAAAGATGAGCAGTCGGCGAGGGCCACCGAAGCACCAAAATCGCTACGCCTGGAAACCAAACGCCGGTGTAAAAATCAACGAGAAGGTAATCAATTACTGCTATTTTTCTTTTTTCTTTTTATTCATATATATTTTTATTTAAATTTGAAAATTTTATTTTCAATAGGAAGTTGGAGGGAAGCTAAGGCCTTACTCTGATATAACTGGAGTTTGCCCTCGATGCAAAGAACAAATCGATTGGAAGCGTCGTTATGGCAAATATAAACCCTTAACGGAGCCTGCAAAATGGTAAGTTTTTTAAAAGAAAAATAATGGTTTCTGTGCATTTTATTTATATTATTTTTTATTTTGGCAGTCAGCTTTGCTCCAAACGTAATGTGCGTCAAGCCTATCATAATCTTTGTTCTGGTTCGTTTCCTCTGCTATTAGTTCTTTGATTGTTTTGATTCAACAGTTTCTCGTCAAATTGAGCGAAATGTATGTCAAATGTAGTTATTTTGTGAAATTAATCAACTGGGTTTGGATATCTTGTTATAGGATGTGCTAAGGAACAAAAAGTGTGTGCTAAGTGTCGATGTCGTGTTGATCAAATAATTGGGAGGTTTGTCCTTGAATCATTTGAGAATTTTTTTGTTTATAGTTTCCGATACATATATTGGGTAAAAGATTAACAATGAAATTCTGACTGTGTTGCTCTCACAGGGATTCTGCAGAGGTTGAAGAAGAGCAAAGATGCTTGAAGAGGTTGGTTTGGAGCAATATTTCGATGTGTTTTTCTTATGTTAGTTTTCGTGATTAATTTGTGTGAATATTGTTTCAGGCAATTAAAAATGCTCGAGAGAGGGATAGAAGAACATTGTTACGTGCTGTAAGTCTCCAATTACGATTCTGATATTGCTGTCAGTCTTCTGCTATTGGAAATAATTCACAACTGTTTGATGATAGTAATTGAGTTGGTTCATGATTATGCTAATAATTAGGAGTTCTATCCAATTAATTATAACTTTTATGATTTATAGTAAAATTTTAGTGGATCCAAACTTCTAATATAGCAGAAGCATAGAAGGGATTTATCTTGATGTAACTCGTGAAGGAAAGACTAAATAAATGCTTAGAAGTTATAAAAGGTTTTATTGATTTGAATTTCCTGGTTGAGACGATATAGATCTCTTTGGCAAGACCCAATGGCGCGAGGGTATTAGAAACCTTAGACCAAAAACTGCTATTGACTGTGACCTACCACATAAAAAAGATATATCATTCTTGGATAAACAATTCAATCTTTTTTAGTTTGACAAGGCATGCAAACTTTCTTAGATATATCATTATAACTCTGCATTGGCAGGTTTCACATGCTATAATCTGTGAATTATGCTAGAGACCTTAAAAATTTAAACATTGTTTTTGTACTCGTATTGTCTAAAGTGCTTCTTAACTGAGCAGGACATATATACTTGTTTTCTTCATATATCATCATTGTCAATGAACTTGGTAGTTGATAGGTGCTAAAATGCATACTTTCTCTTTGGGAGAGTGAATTACCTAAGCAATCCATTTCTCACGTTTTGTTGTTTTATGGTACTTTACTCTGTCAAATGCCTTGATGCTGACCTCCTTTACATGTAACAGATGAATCAAAGTAGCTCCAAACGTTCATCAAAAAACACAGCCAACAAAGAAAATGGTAGGGTCGGTGAAATTTTCCTTCTACATCACTTGAGGAATATGCCAAGCTAGGAAGAAAAGATGATGGAATCATGATGATCAATACAACTCTGAGAAGGATTGCATTAGTGACCATGATGATGATGAAAATGATGATCAAGATGACAACAAAAACAATGTTTGTGATGATGATGAAAATGATGATCAAGAAGACAACAAAAACGATGGCTGTGATGATGATGAAAATGATGATCAAGATAACAAAAACGATGGTCATGACTATGATGATGATGAAAATGACAGAGAACCGAGTGCATAACTGAGAAGCCTATGAATAACTGGGGAAAAGGATTCTGTGCATACAGCAGAATCTTTAACATTACCTTTGCTCCAAACCGTTTTCTGCTCAGTCATCACCATACTAATAATTAAAATTTTGGGATATTTGTATTCTTGTCGCTTTTTTGTGGTCAAGTTTTGATTGGAGCACATGCACTTACTAGGCCTGTGTTAAGATGCCCTTTTGGCTCAACAAGTTCTTACAATATTTTCATTAGATATTGAAACTTCTTAGACTGTAATTGATTATGATGATATTGCTTTGTATATTCTCCCCTTTATCCATTAAGACTCCCATTCCAAGTAATGTAATTCATGTGAGGTGTTTCACGTCCTTTTTCTTTTCTTTCATAACAAGCTACGTCAGTTTATTTTTATTGATGAGACGTTTAAAGTGCTCTCAAGTACACAGATCATTGCTTCAACTGCAATTAGACCTCTTAAGCCATTAACAAAAACAATGTTCACTACTTTGAGATTATCAAAGAAGAAAATTCCAAGTTGTCCCCATTTACGGCCACGGGAGAGGGAAAAAAATGGAATTCTTAAACATCTAGGGAAACTCAACCTGAAAATCCCAAGTGCCCAATCAAGTATATACTCAACAGCTCTTAGGATCTGATAAAAAATTAAATGGTTTGGTAGCTCCCCATACATTGCACAAACCCAACCGAGAAATGCAGAAACCGAATGTGTCTAAATCGCGAAAATGGCTGCCTGCTGGCCTTCCTCTGATGCTGTGTCTGTGTCTGCTTGCAAGCATCCCAACAGTTACAATCCTAAGCTCCAACATCTTCTATACCCAGTTTATGTTCAGAACCACCACTTCCAAGGCTGGTATCTCCCAAGGCCAATTCATTTTGCCTCATTCGCTTCGAAATCAAGTCTCTGATTTGCAGACCAAAGTCGGAATTCTTCTGGAGCAGCTTCGTGGTGCAAGTGCAGAATCTAAAGCAGTAGCATCATTTTCTGATCAACTTCTACATATTGCCTTATCTTTGGACAAGTTTGCAGAATCCTTATCAGGTTCCTATGATAACAGTTCTGGTATGAACGAAGTCAGCGCTGCAGATGAAAACTTCAGTGACCATGAAGAAAGCAAATCGAACAAGGATCCGATACTCATCGTTTTAACTCAGGTGAGCTTCATAAATACACTGCATTGAAACTGAATAGGCTGATTGGGAAGAAAAACTTCCTGGGGTGGAAGCAATTAGTCCATCTGTAGGACTCACTTGTGCCAGCATGGCCTCGAATGTAGATCGCTTTATGGATTATAAGATCTATAGGATGTGCCCTGATGACTGGGACATTGCTCAGAAGGTCATGATCAGTGGCTGCGATCCATTGCCGAGAAGAAGATGCTTCTCGAAAACACCTCCACGTTTGAGTAAACCACTCCCTATAAACTCATCCCTTTGGTCTCAACCAACCGACACCAACATTTTATGGAGCCGTTATAAGTGCAAAGATTACTCCTGTCTTGTTTCTAACGAAACATTAGGCAAAAGAGGCTTCTTCAAATGTTCAAACTGCTTCGATCTTTCGAAAAGAGGATGGGAGATCTTGACGAATGAATCAACTTCAGCTGAATTCACCATAGATAAAGTTCTAAGATTGAAGCCAGGAGAGATCAGGATAGGACTCGATTTTAGCCCCACAACGGCACATTTGCTGCACTAATGAAGGAAAGAAACGTAACAATTGCATCTGCTACCTTGAATTTAGGGGCTCCTTTTAATGAAGTGATTGCGCTCAGAGGCCTCTTACCCCTCTACTTATCAATTGGTTCAAGACTACCTTTCTTCGATAACACACTCGATATTATACACTCTACCCTCTTTTTGGATGGATGGATCGGATTGGATCTTCTTCAGTTTGTCCTTTCGATTGGGATCGTGTTCTTTGACCCCGAGGACTTCTTTGGGTGGATAGGTTCTTCTGCAAAAGAGATGATTTGAAGATCTATTTGGATGAATTTTCCAGGCTGCACTATAAAAAGTTACTGTGGAGAATTGTTCCAAAGACTGATAGATTGGAGGACGAGCTTTACTTCTCTGCTGTATTGGAAAACCACTTAGAAGCTAAATTCAGTTGAATACAAAGATTGAATTTTAGCTTCTTTCTTTTCTGATAATCTGCAAATCTTAGCCTTCTGTATCTTATAATAGGTGCAGAATAAAACCAGGTAAATCAGATGTTGGATGCATTATAACATGACATTTTATGTAAGAAACAAGGAACAAGAGTGGATGAATAAGCTGCAAACCTAAGATGCACCTTCTATTTTCTAGAACATTTCAAAAAAGTTATAATTGATCAATTTATTTATCAATTTGTAATAAAAAAAGGGTAAACTATAGTAATGGTCACTGAACATTTCTGAAGCTTGCATTTAGGTCCCCCAACTTTTAAAACTTTCAATACAGTCCCCCAACATTATTCCGTTTGCAATATGGTCTCCAACTTAAATACTGTTAGAAAATTAGGGTAAATTATATAAACGGTCATTGAACTTTTCAGGCACTTGAATTTAGGTCCCCAACTTTTAAAACTTGCAAAACAGTCCCCCAATAATTTTATTTTCTTATTAAATATAGATGTATAGAAAATATAAATGATTCAATTTATATTTAAATGTATGAATCATTTATATTTTGATATATTTATTTTTCTTGTATAAACTAGTATTTAAAATATGTTTATATTTTAATCAAAATATTTCAATATACGAATAAAATATATTTATATAAATGTATTTATATTTAGATGTATAAATAAAAAAATATATCATATATTAATGTATGAATCATTTATATTTTTTGAATATTTTATTTTTAATAAGAAATTAAAATTATTAATTATATTAGAAATATCAACTAAGATATATATATCATGAATTATAAATATGAAAAATATAATTATTAAATTAGTTTAAAAATATATAAATCTTAAATTTATTCTTTTAAAATATGTATCAACTAATATTTAAAAATATTAAATCTATCAAACAATTATCAAATAATATTTTTTATTGTAAAAAAATATAATATTTTCCCATCATTTATTGCTTTCAAATTTTTTGCCGAAGTTCAAATCTCATTATTTCCATTTCCATTATATTCTTTTTTTCTAGCATTGGTCATACTATTAGTATATGTATTATTGCATATCTCTTAACACAAACGATGGTGTTAGCTTAGTGGCTCTACCCTGTATCTTTCATTTGCGTGACTCAGGTTTGAGTTTGCCAAGACCCAAATTTTACTTCTTTGTAACTTAATTTCTTCTAATTAGGTGGTGACATGTGTCACCAATAACATATATCATGATCATGTTAACACATGTCAGATCCTGGTTAAATGATTAATTTATTAAATTTATTTAATTTAGGACCAAATTGATAGCATATAAATAATTAGTGGTGACATGTGTCACCAATGACACGTGTCATGACCATGTGCTAACACATGTCAGATCCTAATTAAATGATTAATTTATTAAATTCTATTTAATTTAGGACCAAATTGATTATAAATAATAAAGACTGAATGTATAATAATGTCAATTCCTTTTAACGCCACTTCATCATTGTATCAATTGGTAACGACTAGTGGCTTAGTTGAACAATTAAATAATTATGTGTATGATTGATAATTTAAAAGATCGATGACAAAAGTAAAAGGGTTAGATAGTTAAGTTGTCAACCTAGTAGTTTACACTTTTGTTTAACGTCAAAATAACATTTTTTAATTAAAATTTGAATTATTTTCAACCTCTTCTATATCCTAACTACTTTTTTAATTAAAAAATTTCTTCAACAGATAAGAATTATACTATTATATTTATATAAAAAATACGTATCACATGAAATAAGAGAAATTAAATAATATAAATCTGACATAATTGAATTTAATTGAATTATTTTGGAATTTAGGGTTTATAATGAAATTGAATTACTTTGGAAATTGGGGTTTAGAATGAAATTGAGGACTGTTTTGCAAGTTTTAAAGTTGGAGGACCTAAATTCAAGTGTCTGAAAAGTTAAATAACCTTTTATATAATTTACCCTAATTTCTAACTGTGGTTAAGTTGGGGGACCATATTGCAAACGGAATAAATGTTGGGGACTGTATTGCAAGTTTTAAAAGTTGGAGGACCTAAATGCAAGCTTCAAAAATGTTCAGTGACCATTACTATACTTTACCCTAAAAAAATGACTCAATCTCATCTGACCAAGCATATTGCGTGGCACCAACGCCATTTATCAAAAGCCAGCACCGGGAAGTCAAACTCCATTGGCATAGATGTTTCTCTAGAACGTACCACAAGCTGTTCATAGTATATAAGCTGTGGGTTTCTATTATCTCACGGTCACAAACAACTGTAATGCATCTACCTACTTTTGTCTTAATCAAGCAAACAACCATTTATTGACAATTATAATCTATGTACCGCATTTTCCTTCCACTTCCTTTTTCTAAACACATCGTGTTTCATACGCCATTTTTTCCCTTTAATTGTTATTCTATTTTGTTAATGTTAAATCAATGGTTAAACATCAAATTTATAATAATTAAAGAAAGTAAGCTTTTTGCAGTGGGATTAAAGTGTCCCACCACTTGAACTCGATTTATTTAGACTTTCTTGTCATGTCCCGTTGGACAAAAAGCTACTCGTCTCCTTTTGTTTTCTCACTCTTTATGTGGGTCTTCTCCGTCTGTCACAAACCTTGAACCAAAGTCAATAACCCAAAAAGAGCCCCTCGAAATCCTAAAGCAATGGCTAATCTTTTATTGTTCATTGCTAGATCTTTCTTCAAGCTAAGCTCTTTCAGCGTCTTGCTTCTGTTGTTGTTCTCTTTCTCAAGTTTCACCTCAACAGTTTGTAGAATCTCTCTTTCTTTGTTTATAAGTTTGGGAAGTTGGAATTTTTTTCCTTTATGGTGTTTTGATTCTTTAATGAATTTGGTAAATGGGGTTTCTTTAATTATGTGAAAGCACCTTCTTTATGATTTTCGAGTCTATTTTGCATTTTTATGGTAATGGGTTTTGCCTGGTATTAGCTCTGTAAAGCAAATTTCCATATTAAGCTATGAAATTTCTATCAAAATCTTGCCTTTCCTATTGTTCAGAGAGGTTTGTTTGTTAGCTCGTGATAATGTTAGTCTTTAGATGGGAGGGTTTAGGAAAAGATCAGCAGTTAATGATGAGATTGAGTAGTTGATAGTCTAAATATTAACTTTTGGACTTGGTTTTGCTATTTCTGTCGAGTGATGATCTGATACTGGTTTCTTTGCTTCGTTTCTTAGTGCATATTCATGTAATGGGATTAGGTATTGGAAATGTATGTATGTGTTATAATTCTCTCTTCTAACTCATTTTCAGAAGCCTACGATCCGCTGGACCCAAATGGAATATCACAATCAAATGGGATATCATGAGTTGGACCGCTGATGGCTATGTTGTAAGTGTCCTTTCATCTCTATTACTTACGACGCATGCATAGGTTTGTGTATGCAAGAAGTTAGAATTTGATGCTTTAGCTATCTAGTGTGGGGTCGTACGAAGTTCAAACCCGATTGCTTGGTGTGAATGAGTAATGACTTGCTAACTCTGTAATACGGAAATCATTCAATAGGGAGAACTAAAATCTAGGCTTTGTTTAAGATTCAACGAATGAAGAAACAATGGTTTGGAGAATAGGGTATCATTTTGGCATGAGTATGTTTCATCTTTTGTCCATTAGCTGAAAATGTGATTAAATTCGAGCAGGCAGTTGTCACAATCTATAACTTCCAGCAATACCGGCATATCCAAGCACCAGGGTGGACATTAGGTTGGAAATGGGCTAAGAAGGAGGTGATTTGGAGCATGATGGGAGGGAACAACCGAACAAGGGGATTGTTCTAAATTCAAAGGGAACATTCCACATTGCTGTAAGAAGGATCCAACTGTTGTGGATCTATTGCCGGGAACGCCTATAATCAGCAGATTGCAATTGCTGTAAAGGCGGAGTGCTAAACTCGTGGTGCAAGATCCAACCACTGCAGCAAGCTCATTCCAGGTGAGTGTTGGTCAAGCTGGAACCACAAATAAGACAGTTAGAGTTCCTAGGAACTTCACTTTGAAGGCACCAGGGCCTGGTTATACATGTGGACCAGCAAAAATTGTTAAACCTAGTAGATTCGTTACTGCAGACAAAAGGCGAGTCACACAAGCTTTGAGTAAGTTATTCGATTAAGATCTAGAATGCTATATAGTTATTCATTTCTTTATCTAGAATGCTAGATGGTTAATTGACACTTCTTCTTCATGACAGTGACATGGAATGTTACGTGCACGTATTCGCAATTTCTGGCTCAGAAAACACCTAGTTGTTGCGTCTCTCTCTCATCCTTCTATAATGAAACCATAGTACCTTGCCCTCAATGTGCTTGTGGCTGCCAAAATGCTTCTCAGCCGGGGAGCTGTGTAGAGTAAGTTCATTCCGCGAAAAAGATGATAATTATTGCTTGGAGTATGTTTTTTGGAGTGATTGTTATCTCGATTCTTTATTGCTTCCTTGAGCTTATTTGTTTTTAATGTGCAGTCCAAAAGCTCCGCATATAGCGTCGGTTGTTCGGGTACAGGGAAGAATAACTTGGCTCCTTTGGTCCAATGTACAAGCCATATGTGTCCGGT